AATGTCCCAAGGCTAGAATGGAATCAGCCAAGGGACTGCTATCAAGCAGTTTCCACAATGCGGTTAATGTATGGCCGTGGCACGGTGAGTGGTAGAAAGGGTTTAGACGTAGGTCTTATTTGTTAGAGAAAGGGCAATGTACTTTTCCCCGCGGCGTGGTGTATGGTCACCACGATGCAGTGTCCAAAGTAGGATGTCATGGGGATAGAGTACCACAATGTTGTAAGAAAAGTTCCACGGCGTGGCAAACGTTTACGCGTCCAAATGACTGAGGTTAAATTTTCAATGTGGCGTGGTGTATAGACATTCGTGGCACAGTTTCAAGGGTTTAAGTCATGTTCTAACTTGTTAGAGCCTCATTTCCGAATCAAAACACCCCAAAACGATTAAGAGCTAAATGTTGGTGATTTTGGTGTTGGGATAAGGGCAAAAGAAGCTAGAGATAGAGGTTGATAAGGATTTTCATCCTCTCTCCATTAAGATAAGATTTCTCCATTTTGGTGAAATATTTGATTAGAGTAAATTGGTTGAATTGATCAACCGATAGCTTGATTATGATGTTAATGATAGTGTTAAAATGCTTTAATTAATATTAGAATGTGATTTCCATGGTGACATCTATGTATATGAAGTTAGGGTTTGAAACCCTAACTAATTGGATGATGAATTGATGCATTAGAGTAGATTATGAAGAATTAGGCATTATGGGATGCTTAATTCATCAATCAATTGAGATTAAGAGATAGAGAATGAAAAGATAGAGAATTGATCCATTAAGTGATCATTTTGACCTTAAGAGACATTAAGCTCTTAATAGGCTAAAACAAGTAATAATACACATGTACGTATGTATTATTAGGACTAAGAGCAAGAAGATGGATCAAGAAGCATCAATCGAGGAAATGAGCTAAAGTAGGACAGTTAGACTTCACTAACTGATAAGGTGAGTTATATCTCATAATCTCTATATTTAGATTATGTTATATATATATATATATATATATATATATATATATATATATATATATGTGTGTGTGTGTGTGTGTGTGTGTGTGTATAATGGAGCTTGGGACACTAAGTGAATGCCCCCAAGTAAAGAGATGAAGAAAGATGAAGAATATGTGTGTAAGAGCATGGATAAGATCATGTGCACAAATTTAGAATATGTAATAAGTATACGCAAGATACATGTATAAGGGCATGTATATATACAAAGAATATGTGGGTTTAGATGAGAAGGGTATTTACTAATACCCAATAGATAGAAGAAAGAGATATAAGATGATTATATATAATACTCCCTCTGTCCCATATTTATTGTCCACTTTTGACTTTTGAAGTCTTTTTTCTTCAACTTTGACCTTAAGTATTTTATTTTTGATATATAATACTTGATCCAAAATATATGAATGATTTGTGTTTTAAATGTCTTCTCATTGTTATAAGTTTCATCAAGTAATATATAACACATATAAAAATATTTAAGGTCAAAGTTGAAGAATAAAGACTTCAAAAGTCAAAAGTAGACAATAAATACGGGACGTATGTAGTATAATCATAAGAGTAAGTATATATGTCTAGCTATCATTAGTATTGTGTAGAATGTTATATGATACTAGACATACATAAAGAATAAGTACTTAATGGGTTAAGCGCTAGTAAAGAAAGATTATATGGTCTCTTGATGAGACATAAAGATTGAAGATTCCTTTAGGAATAAGAGTAAGGTTCCTATGGGGACAAAAGATTGAAAATTCCTGCAGGAACCGGATTATGGTTCCTACGGTAACAAGAGATAGAAGGTTCCTATGGGGATAAGATTATGGTTCCTACGAGAACAAGAGATAGAAGGTTCCTATGGGCAGAAGAGTATGGCTCCTATGGGAACAAGAGATAAAAGGTTCCTACAAGGACAAGAGTATGGTTCCTACGGGAACAAGGTGTAGAAGGTTCCTACAAGAACAAGAGTAAGGTTCCTTTGTAGATGAGAGTAAGTTTCCTACAAGGACAAAGAGTATGATTCTTGTGGGAATGAAATGATGCTTCCTTAGGGAAGATACACAAAAGATCCCTTGTTTGGGATGTAGACAGATGATTCTTGAGAGAATCTAAATTAAGTATGCTTAGAAAAGATAAAGAAGGGTTCCTTGAGACGAACAAGATAAGTGAGTTATTTGTAAAGAACTTAGATGTAACCCACGAGGGGTTAAAAGTAAGCAATCCGTAAGGGATTCAAGAGTAAAAGGAAAAGATTAAGGATCTAAGATGGATCATAAGAGAGAGTGGTAAGATTGGTTGAGCGCGCCCAATATTAAAAGTGGGATGTGATTCGCTTAGGGAACATATATGAATATCCCTTGTTTGGGATGTAGATATATAATTCTTGCGGGAATCTAAATTGAGGATGGTTAGAAAGATAAAGAAGGGCTCCTTGCGACGAACAAGATAAGAGATTTCTTTGTAAAGAACTTAGATGTAACCCACGAGGGGTTAAAAGTAAGGAATCCGTAAGGGATTCAAGATTAAAAAGAAAAGATTAAGGATCCAAGAGGAATCATAAGAGTAAAGTGAGATATATGATCGTTTGGTCTAGATGAGAATGAGGTGTTGAGGCAGTAGGGAAGAGTTAGAGTATGTACATAGCATGAGAAGAGCCTGTTAAGAGACTAAGAGTAGAGTAAGATATAGAGTAAAGAAGAGACAGAGTTAGAGACAAAGATAGAGTATGAGAAGAGCCTATTAAGAGGCTAAGAGTAGAGTATGAGAAGAGCCTCTTAAGAGGCCGAAAGAAGAGTATGAGAAGAGCCTCTTAAAAGTCTTAAGAGAAAGAGTAGAGTAGAGAAATAATAGAGAAGATAAAGAGATAAATGAAAGAAAAGAATGATAGCACTATATGTTATTAAAGAAAGAGAACAAATGATAGATTATGAGAAAGAGAAGTAAAGAAATATAAGAAAAATAAAGAAGAATAACTCACCAAACACATTGTCTTACACGTTGGGTTATGCATAGATTTTATGTTTTCTCGGTTCAGGTTGTAGCAGGCAGCCATGGTACCAGAAGAGAAGACATGAGCACAAGGAATAAACAGGATGCTATTATGTAATTTCCTTGTGTTTCATTTTGTATGTAAGATTTTTATTGTAACCCCGTGATTATTCCTAGGATGTAAAGTTTTAATTAGAGTAGAATTTCGCATTGTAAGATAAAACTATGATAAATCCCATTAGATTAGATGATAGAAAGTTTGAGTCGTTACAGGAAGTCTTCTAGAGCGCGATACGTCACTTAGTAAAACGTGATGCATAACCCAACGTGTAAGACATACTATGATGAAGCAGTATTTTTCATTTCACTAGGTTTGGCACATTCGTTTGACCTTATTTCACTTCCATAAATTCTTATTAGGTCAATAATGGTTAATTTGAGAGTTTGGGAAATTTCCGACCTATGGGTATTTTGGTTATTTTTAGTAATTCATTTTACATCATATAGGTGGTGTTTGAGGAGAACTTCAACTGAAGAAAGGAGTGGTTTTGAATGCTAGAAGTTGATGTGAGTTACTGGGAGCACACATCCTAATTATTAGTTTTGTGATTTGAAACTATCTATCATATAAACTTCATTGCTAGCTATTTAATGTGTATATACTTGTTACATTTAAGAAAAGAAGTTTTGGAAGGTTATTTTATAGAAAAAGCTAATATATTTTTTTAAAGCGACGTTGGCTTCCTACATGTTGCATACACATACTAGGATAAGTACCTTGAGTGGTCAAGTCCTTGGGATCCTTTGAGTGTTGACTTGTTGTGAGTAGATTTCTAGATAATCCCCATGTGCATAAGTAGAGGTTCTCAACCCCTTTAATGGGCTAGGGGTAGTGGCTCCCTTTTTTTTAGGAACGGATTACCATCAAATTATACTATTGAGACATTGGGGAGATTAACGATTGAGATTGACACTAGTTTGGGCTAGTTGCATGCATTGTATTTTATTATATGTTATAGGCTTTACCCTTTATTGAAAATTATGAGACTTTATGTCTTGAGGAAACATAACTACTTGTAGTCAATATTTTGGTCATATAAGACCCTTTATTTGATTTGGGTTATCAAAACTATGTGATTTCTACTTGCTCTAAACAACTTTAGGTTGTTTTTTTGGAGGTTTGATTCGAGTAAGATGGATTGCCATCATTTCCTCTAAATGAATCAACCTCATGTAACTCACTAAGAATATTGCCTAACTTATTTTGATGTGTGCTTAGGTTGAAGTAATAGAGGGACTATAGGTGCGGAATATTTAGAAGACCTCGTTGTGTAGGAAAACTTAATCATGATTTTGATACCTAATGACAACTTGCATTTTGAAACAATTAACTTGAATACTTTTTGGGGACCGTTTATTTTCATAAAACTTTATTTAACTCTGAAACTTTTTGTTTGAAAGATTTTAAACTTGTTTTTAAATATCATTTTAAACTCACACACGCGAGGGATGTTAAATAAAGTGACTGCTTAAAATTAAGATATTTTACTTTAATTATACAAGTGAATATTTTAACACGGTGATGGGTCTAATATGATGTTGGAAGCATATTAATACCAAATTTGATAGAGACTTATAATTTATACAACTATTTCTAATTTTGGAAACTTTAATGGACCAATTTGGCAAAATGGAATAAGGTGGTAAGATAAAGATGGTTTGAAATATAATTATTTATATATATATATATATATATATATATATATATATATATATATATATATATATATATTAATACTTTGTTACCTTAGTAACAGTACCTAACCAGGGTACTGTTCCATAGGGTTATTTAACTCCACCTTAGTTAATCCTCCACCGCCTCTAATACTTCTCCATTATTTTTAATCGTTCACTTCCACCGCCTCTCCCTTCTTCCGTTTCCCTCTAGCTCTACCGCCTTCCCCGCTGCTCACCTTCTCCGTTTCCCTCCACCGCTTACTTCCCAGCTACGGATGTCTCCACATTCTGTCAAACTTCGCTTCAGTCGCTGGTGGATTGTACTTTTAGGGTTGACACCACGCATCAACATCCAGTAATAATCAGAGAAGAAATCGATGGTGATTTCTGCAATCCGTCGCCCTTTACAGTTTCTCTTCGGCGAATAGAAGGGACCGATGTTCCATTTTTCAGTCTGATTTCGATTTTTCCCTTGCCCTAGGACATTAACAATTGTTTCAGCTCTTTGGGATAAGACGACGAAGATCTGGAAAATCATTTCAGCTGGAAATTCGTTGATGTGTATAAGCCTTTCTTTAAACCCTAGAAGAGAATCTTCGTTTGCCTAGCTTGCCGCCAGATTCCGATATTGTACAAATTTGCTGACCTGGGAAAGCTCTTTGGAAACCCTCGACGTATTTGGTTGCCCTCTTGCTGTACAGATATGTCGAAATTCACGAGGGATCAACCGGTAAATCACACCAACCTCATTGCATCATGTTTTGGTTTTGATTTTTTTCAATTCTCAATTTCAAGAGTATCGTTAGTATTTGGATTTAGATTGAAAGTTTTTAACTTAATTGGTTGTTTCTATTTTTAATTTGACATTTGTTTGTTTCACGGATTATTTTGGCCAATATGGAAAAGTCACAAAGGTTTACCTCTCTTCGAACAGTTGACGGGACTTTGCAGTAGTTTACCAACAACACTTGCTGTGTGTAAGTTTACAAGTATGCATATTGAGTTGCTTTTATGTCTGATTTTACTCCTAAAAATCATGATTTTCTTCTTTTATGTTCCCAGATATAGCACTTAATCAAAAGAAGGGGAAATAGTAACATGTATTCAATCTGTTCATGGTCATGTATGAGATGGTAGCTTTCTAACATTAGCGAATTCCCTTAGTACCCTCTATCACTTTTCCTTTATAATCTTGAATCTTTATTACGGCTTCACAATCCCAAATTACAAGGTGCATGTACTCTTCCTTTTGATGAGGCTAAATTATAGCAAGGGTAAAGTGGTCCACAATTAAAGCAATAGTTACCCAAACCAACATTCTTAAATTGAACTTCACTTTGGTTATAGGTTATTTTTCAGTTCAATGGATAGAGACATGTAGTCTGACCCAGATGAAGCATTAGCACTAAAACAAAATTACATCATTTAATATCCTTATTACTTCTACTTGCTGATTCTTCCATTTAGAAAAATCAAAATTAGTAAAAAGTCCAGTTTCCCTAGAAACTCATAACTATAGCTCCAAATGACAGAATAAAGAAGTTGGAGCAAGGTAAAAGAAGATTAGCTAAACCAGTGAATTATGTTGGAGTTGCAACTGTAGAGTATTTGTACAGTATGGAAATTGGGGATTATTACTTTTTGGAGCTCAATCCATGTTTACAGGTGAAAATATTTAATTCTTAAATAGTGAATAAATGTTTACATCCAAGAGTTATCAAAGATTTAATGATATGCATATACCCTTTTGGGGAATTTCTACATTTTTTAGGTTGACCATCCTGTTACCGAGTGGATAGCAGAAATTTATCTACGTGTTGCACAAGTTGCAGTTGCTTGAATTCAACACAGTTATATTTGGTTGTTTTTTGTGAGTAGGTTTCCAACTATTTCTTTCCATTTTGTAGTAAATCAAATTATAAATCTAAAGAGGTAAATATGTCATGGTTTTCCTTGACAAGAAATGGAATGGACCGTTCATATTTTGTTTTTCCTTTCGAAACCGGTCGAAGGAATTGGATCACTAATTATGTTAGATGGTTAAATTACCCTTTATTGATTTTTTTTTCTCTGACTTCTGCAGGGTTTAGAACATGAAGTATATTTACCATAGTTGTTTGATATGTAAGAAAAGTAATGACACTACAATTTGTTAAAGCACAGTCTTTTGGATAGCATTGGTAACATTGATTATATGTACAAAAAAAAAAGTAAATTGCTATTTATAATACACAAATAAATAAAAGTAGTTTGGTATTTATTGCAGAGTGACAAATTTACTCAATGTACCCTTGTGGGATTTCAGATTTTTCCTATTCCTTCTATCAGATTGATTTCCACTTAGTTCTTTGGGTTTAGTTGTACCGAATACATATCCGGGATCCTTCACTAGTTAGTATGAAATTATAAACATGTTATAACATAAAACTTATTGAATTACCACCATAAAACTTAATAAAATCACATGTTGGCAAAGTAGAATGCTAAATGAGAAAAAGTGTCGAAACGAAAATTTGTCTAAAAGGTTCTATTAAGCTTTGTAATGTCTAAAGCACTATTGTTGCATGTATGGGAGATATTACATGGAGTTAAGAACAAGTATGTAAGGAATTTTTAAGTTGTCAAAATGGGACAAAAATGATTTTTTTTTTTTTTTTTAGCAAAAACTAGTATGGTTAACCATTGGAACAAAGTTATAATGATATTAAAATGACTAGATAACTGTAGTCATCGATAATCATGAACTTAAAGAATTTTCTAAATTTAAAGTATTTTGATAAAAATAAAGTAAGCTCTCATTTATGCAACATGAGACCTAAATGGTATATGGTACTTAAAAACTTTGATGATGTAACTAGTGTAGTATTATAATGAAGCCAAACTATGTCAAAGAAACATAGATAAAGTATAATGTCAAATATAGAAAGTTAGCATAAAATGGTGAATAAAGCTTTATGAAAGGAATGTTTAGGTACGAACCAAAATCTAGATAGCAAAGGGAAGTGTATTAGAGACTAGATGCAACCTAGTCTCCCCAAGTGAGTACATGTGTATTTCTCGCGTACTGGGGTACATGGCATAATCAAATGTTTTATGTGTTATAAAATTTATGTAATGAATTAAGCTTGATTCTCAAACATGCTAAGTGTTTTGAATATAATTTTTTTTAATGTAATTATTTTGATTATGAATTGATTCTAAAGATAGCATGCTAATTGACTTAATTTTTACGAGTCTAATTTTATTTTTCCATGATTTTGTTACAGTTAAAGAATGACTTTTCATGAGTATGCAATCATGTACATATCATGGCATATTATGTGTGATTGACATGGATAAAATAAAACTGGTTTTCATGAATATATCAAGTAGGGATATCCCAATTTTGTTTGTTTGGTCTAGTGTCCCGCAGGGGGGGGGGGGGGATTAATAAAAAGATTAAGATAGGATTATACCTGAATGATGTGTCGGGATGGATTGACGATGGATTGTTTGGATTATATGAATGATTATATGAATATATTTGGATAGGGCTCTGCTATTCAGAAATAGAACAACTATTTCAACAGAGGAAGAACTTTGAGATCAACTCAAGTCTTAAACACTCAAACTTAGCTTGTTTATTCCATATGGGCAAAGGCCCTATTTATAGGCTCAAAGGAGCCGAGTACAATAATAGAACTGCAATCGGTTGATTGCAATATGACAAACCTATTTACATTAATGCCCCTTAGAGTATTGAAGGTCTTACATACTTTATTTTACTATGCTACCGACACTTTGCATACAATAATTATAAAAGACAAAACCATAAATAATTACAAATTCCTTTCCATATGGAAAGGCCACATGTCTTCAATAATGTGTCTTCTTTAATAATGGCTTCTTATGTCATTGCTTACGTCATTCCTCCCGCCTCCGAAAAGACATGTTTTTGAATAATGTTTGCTTGTGTCATGGCTGACGTTAATCTTCCATGAATGGTGTTTCTTCTGTGTTTTCTGAACAGTGACTGCAATTGTGTCTTGGAGCATGCATAATATGTTTGCAAAGTTGTTTCTTGATATCATCGGGTAATTCAGCCAGTTGATGAGAAAAATTTTCGAAAGGTTGTTCGAATGTTTCAATTGCTTTCATTGCTTCCAGAGTGATTTCATTGTCTGTTAAAGAGTAGATAATGAAAGTTTTACTAGCATAATTTACTCTGATTCTTGACCTTTGGTCTTTACCGTTGCCAATGCGTGATGATGCTAAATAAACACCGGCAAGTGCAAAGATTAGATGTTCTTGTGTTGGGGATTCATGGGGTAGATCATCTTTTGTTGGTTTTGAGCCGTTGCTTATTCCCATGTTTGCAAAAGTAATACTTGGGACAATTAGTTGAGATTCTTCATCAAAAATTGGGTAGCTAGAATGCATTTTGATGAATAATCCTCTTTCTTGTTTTGCAAAGCGTATTTTATAATTTCTGATGATAGTTTGCACAGCAGAAGGGAATTCGCTGATGCAGTGTAGATTGGTGCCTTCTAGATAGATGGTGTCGATGAACCCATGAATAAAATAATCCCATAAAGTCATAGGATCTGATAAGTCGGCTAAGAAAACTGCTTTAGGACCTGGTCGTCTGGCTACTAGGTAAAAGCCCATCAGAGAATGGACTTCGGTGTATGAGATTAGGCTGTCCCATAATTCGGCAAATTTTTTGGCAGATGGTTTTTTCATGGCTTCTTTTTCTTTGGTTGATAGAATGGATTCAAGGGCAATTTTTGCATTTAATTGGTTAAGGGATCTTGGGATGGATACAGGTTTTTGTGGTGTGAAGCTGGTCATAGGTTTTTGTGGTGTTAGGAGAACTGTTTTTGAACATTCTACGTTATCTTTTATTACTGCTTTGTATGCTTCGTTGTATGCGGCTTCTGCTTCATTTTTCGTTTTGTAGCTTTTGTGAATGATATTTTTTTCAAGAATATATGAACTGGCGATTCCCCAATTGTCATATACTCCTTTGTTTTCTCCGTTGAAAATCACGTACCATTTCTTTATATTTTTATGATCTGCTTGAAGTGGTGGATATTCTTCTGGATTTATAGGTTGTTTTTCTGTCTTGAGCATTGTTTGTGGCTGACTATCATCGGATGAAATTTTTTGAATGTCTTCTTTTGGTTGCTTCGTTGTTGAACTGCTAGCTGCTTCTTCTTTAGGTACTGATTGAGATGATAGGATTTGTATTGTTTGTCGTAGTTGTTCTTTTTCTCGTCTGACTGCTTCGAGTTGTCTGACTAATGATGCTTCTTGATCTTCTTTCTGTTTGAACTGGTGTTTGATTTGTTTCATGATTGCTTCCATTTCGATATATTTGTGGACTGAATGTTTGCGTTTCTTGAGTACCTGAATAATTGCTTAAATTTGTTTGTTTCAAATGATGATATGAAAATTTTCATATCAATGTATGCTTTTGGTGATATATTCATATCACTGTATGCTTTTGGTGATATATTCATATCACTGTATGCTTTTGGTGATATATTCATATCACTGTATACTTTATCATTGTTTACTTCAGATGGTACTTTCATACCATTGTATACTTTAGCAATGTGTATTCCAGATAGGTTAGATATGAGGTTTCCCTCAAATTCTAATTCTAATAATACTTTTTCCATAGGATTATGTACCTGCATCTGAATCAGAATCAGTTGTATATGCATAAATATCTATATCTGAATTTATATCTGAATCTTCTATGGGTTCGTATCCAAGGTCGTATGCAATTTTTAATATATTTGTTTCTTTTTCTTTTTAGTCTTTTTCGGGCATTCATAAGTTTTGTGTCCTTCTTCTTGACATATCCAACATTTACAGTCTTTTTTATTCGATGGGCAATAATTTGTTTTGGATTGATATTTTTGTTTATATTGTTTTCTATTACGGAAATATTTTCTTTCCCCTTGTTTATAATATTCTTTGTATTTAGGTTTATATGTTTGTTTTTTCCAAATTTTCTTTTTACTTTGTTGTTTTTTCTTTACAACCATATTGATTTACTTTGTTAGAAAGGATGTCACAACATAAATCAATTTTTGCATCTTGTGCTGTTTTTTGTTCTAAACATTTTTTCTGCATCCATGCTTTTAATATGCTTATTCGTACTCCTAAGGTGTCTGCAACTTTATTTTGTTGTAATGCTTCTTGGAAATCTTTTATTACATTTTGGCTTACTAATGATGGTAGTTTTTGATAGAACATATCTAACGCTGCCTTTTTTCTAGTGGGATCTAAATTATAATAATGTTCGGAATATTCGCATATAAATGGTTCTAGATAACACATATTACAAATTCGTAAATTAGTTAAATGCCATAATGATTCTAATTGAAAAGCTTTTTTTGATATTTTATCTTCAATTTGTTTCCTATGAATTCCTGAATAAGACGGCTTAATACATTTTTAAATGTTTCCATAGCATCAGTGGTGGCTATCATCATTGTTTCGGTTTCATCAAGAGATGAAAGGAAACGATATGCGTTACCTTGTGTTTTATGAATGATATAATTAAGAAAATGTTTTGGGTGTAAATTTCTTAATTCTTCGGTTAACTGAATTTGTACTCCCATTTTATTACTCCATTCTTGAATTTTTGCTTCAGGATTTTGGTCACAATCAATAAAAAGAATATCTGAATTTGTTGGAAATGTAAATAACTTAGGTATGTATTGAGGAGGTATTTTTTCCCATTTGTTTTGTTTATTTTTAACCATTCCTTGTCTATATAAAAAAATTTCTTCTAATGAAGGTGGTCCATAAATATATTGACTTTGATAATCATCTTCAACATATGATTGTTTTCGTTTTAATCCAAAATTGTTTTGTGAATCTCTATATGGATTTGAATAAGGGTTTTCATCATCTGAAGAAAAATCATATATTACTTCTGCGTCATTATCATCTGAATTATTTTCTATTTCTATATTATTTTCTTGAGTTTCAGATGAAATTTCTAGTGCTGCAAATAATTTAGTTAGTGTTTCTACTTTTTCTTGTAAAGTTTCCATATATAAAATTTTTAGTTTCTTTTTTCTAGTGAAGTAGTTGTTTTTTCTATCATATTTAACAAATTAATTTTGTTATTTTATCTTCAAGGTTTTTTATTTGTTCTTGTTTCCAATTTATACTATTATTTATTATATGTATTGCTTCAATATTAGATATACAATTTATCATTGATATGTCAGA